GGGTCAAACCCACCGCTCGAGGGGCAGCCGACGACGAAGGGCTGCTGTAATAGACGCCTGTATACTCGGATTATCCACGATAAATATTTACGTGCTCTCGCGCGATGTGTTCGCTCAAAAGCGCAGTGCGACTGCCGAGTTGAACGGAAGCGCTTCCGTTATTATCAATGACTGGGTATTTTAACTGGAAAGAATGGCTACGCACCATTCTCTAAAACGCAATTTCTTCGCTTTTAAGAACATCGTAAATTGTTACAAATTGTTTAAATTTTTTTTCAACTTTTAGTCTCTCCTCTTGTTGATATTTCAAATAGAGTACTATATAAAATATTAAATTGTGATTTATATTTGACTTCTGCACCGAAGAGAATTCAAATCCAGCATTGAAATGCTCGTGTTTACTTTAACTTCGTTTGATAAGTTACATTGATTGCGAATTGTCTGCGAATCTGATCGCGTAATGAATACATAATTTACGTACTAATAATCGCGAAGGCCTCAACATAGGTATTTTACCTATATCGAAATATCGAATTAAAGCTGATGTACGTAAATTTGTTGATTCATCATTGAGTTTTATATGATGGTCCGTAAACGTACGGCCCTACTCAACGAGTGCGTCTGTGAATCGGGTAATTGGCATATTTCGCGTATCCGGACATGGGTGTTAGAGCATAGTTGCCGATACCGTATAAAGCATCAGAGCGCATACAACGAATGCATATGTCCGACGTGCGATAATTGAAATAGTTTGCGGATTGGTCTTTTTACCGAAGTTGTGTGCAGTTCGCGTGCGTGAGTTATTATGTCACCGATGCATTTTTTTTCTGCGCAAAGCCGACTCGTAATTCATTTACAACACACATTATTAAATGACGTTAATAACATTTTATTGTATTCATTTCCGCTATGACACACCGCAATCAATCATTATATCGCAATGTAATCAATGTAATGGAGTTAGAGTTGTTACAACCACGTATATTTGTCGATTATGCGATAATCGCCTTTCGAGCGTTAACTGTGACAAATGGTTTTTGCGAGAAGCCATTGGGAGACAAACGAATCCGCGTAGAACTCGTGTACGGTATGTTGTATAAATCTCGATATGTCGCCCGCTCGTAAATCAATCTCGATAATATTAAAAATGTGCGAAACTTTGGAAATGGCGCTTTCACGAGAAGGCACGAGCGGCGCGTGTCCGCTCGCCTTTCACACGACTCCGGATCTCCTGGGATCATCCCTGGGCAGACGTTTCAAACTTCCCGCGCGCTTTTTACTCCTCCTTCTCTTTTACGGCCTAACTCGTAATTCATGTGTGGCGGACCACACATCATACACTTGACGCGCATAAATATCATTATCTCCAGCAGGCCGCGTAACTCGATTTAGAGACGGATCGGACTCGTCCCCTTCGCGTCTTCCGTTGCTCGGTGGTCCTATGGTGTCTCGCTCTCTGTCCCGCATCCATCGGAAGTGATTCATTTTTAATATAATATTGAAAGATTGGAGAACGTGAATCTCATTTATATATCATCCACATACTGCGCATTAAAATTTTATTTTCGTATTTGTACAGATTCTACATTTTATTAAAGCAAGAAATATAATCCTATTGATAATACATTTTTTATTATTATAATTTTAGATATTTTATTTGGATATTTTGATTATATTCGTTATTTACAATGATATATTCTTATCGGAGTTCGAAATGGTGCCATCGAGTTATAATTAAAGAATCAAGATTGTTCGAATTCAATTTGAAGGGCTTGGACAGTCGAGAATTAATCAACGCGTGGCAAATCCATGCTCCGACATACCAGATACATATAATCCAACTAGCGACCGAGGAAACATGACTATATCAAGCGCAATGTATAACCGTCTACTATACAATTATTTACTAGCAGCCACCTGATCCTTGATAAATACTTAAATATATTCGTGTCTGCAACGAATTGTTCTTCAACTTTTTTTTATAAATTAAAGAGAATAAAAGAATAAAATATTTATCAAAAACGTAGATAGTTTAGATTGACCAACTGGTTCAATATCATCCGATATTAATTTTCTTAAAATGCTCATGTAGTTATGAAATTCATACAGATGACCTTTTCATAAATTATATAAATATAGTGGAGAGAGAGAGAGAGAGAGAGAAGAGAAGAGAAACAACTGCGAATTAATTTTCTCGTATAATTTCTCACATTTCAGCCCCTCAGAACTTACGTTACATAATTTAGTAGAAACAACCGAGTTGCATGATAGAATACAGCCGAGTTTGTAATCGCATAAAGCATAGTTTTCTCCATGAATAATCTCTATCATACTAGATGATAAATGTAATATTATTATCATCAAAATAAATTGGAAAAAATCAAGAATTCAAAAGTTTCACATTACGTGCTGTAGTGATATCAGTTGCGATGATTGGTGACCAATAATCTAATCAACGAATCAGACGATGGTGGTCAGCGATACGGTGTCAGGGCCGAGTCACCTGGAGCGACCTACCTGACCTCCGCTGTACGTACGTGTAATGCGTGCGGGTGGCCAAGCACAGAGATACGCTGAGAGAGACGGAGAGACGGAGAAAGAGAGAGAGAGAGAGAGAGAAAAAGAGAGAGAGAGGGAGATACAGAGAGAGGGAGGGGAGGGAGGAGGAGAGGGGAGAAGAGGAAGGGGGAGGAGAGAGAGAGAGAGAGAGAGAGAGAGAGAGAGAGAGAGAGAGAGAGAGAGAGAGTCGCGGGGTGGAGGGTCAAAATCCCCTGGTCGTCTCCCTAGGAATTTCTCCCTGTGGCGGTGATAGAGGGATGGTACGTCGGGGGACGGGGACATCACCCCTTTCGCGGCTACCCAAGTACCCCACCAGAGGTATCGCTTTGGTCCTGGTGAAGTCGGTGGGGATGTTGTCGTCATGACGACCGAACGACGAATACAGTGGGGACGAAGCATAAGAGGGGCCCGACGGTGGCATTGATCGCTGCGCGCCCGTGGACCATCACGGTGGTGTTGCCACGGGTATAGAAGGGGTGAATACGAGCGTGCTCCTACTTTCCTTCCTCGCTCGTGCGCGAGAGAGAAGAGAGAGAGAGAAAAGAGAGAACGCTCTCCGCGTGCGATTCTCTTGTATCGCACGCATTATGGACTTCGTATTCGTACGGAAGCATGCGTCCAAGTATGGACTTACGGGGTGCTTATGCGCGCCCCTCGAGCGAGGCGTGAATGATTCCGCGACGCGAGAATGTTGTATTCCAGCTGCGTGTAGACGTCGCGACGCGCGTGAGAGATGCGAAGATTTCGCCGCGGATTCTTGCCGTAGAGTATATAATCTCTCCATTACGGTGTTTATTGGGAACACAGTCTTTAAATATTTGAGTCTTGTTGATAATTATGAAATATAAATATTTGTTTTTAAAAAATCTCAATAAATATGCAGAAAATCATTTAAATTATTCTGTTTAAAAAAATGTGTCCAGAGGACTGTAATGGAATAAATAATTAACTGCTGATTAATGCATATTACATATTAATTAATCATATATTTATAAAAGTTAATATACAGATTCTTTTATTGATGAACATAAAGTAATTTATTGATAATGAAAAATATAAACAAAAGAGTATTGTGCATGTTATTGATAAAAATGAATCATATGGAAACAAAATGAACAGTTATAAAGAAATTAATAACAATTGTAGGCAAGCAGTTAAATATATTTTCGTTTCAGCTTGTAATTTCATTGATCATACATTAATATGATTTATACCGATGATGGACGTTAATAAAATTGTGTAAAAACAATTTACATGAAAATGTACTTTCGTATACAGAATACTCCGATGTTTCCATAAGTTTTTCCTTTATTCCTATTTCGCAATGCAAATCAACCCCGAGCTAGGAAACAGCAACAGTGTACTATCGCCACAGTATTATCAGTATACTGCACTTTCGATTAGCAGCAATGTGTTTGCGCGCACATTCAATGAAGGCCGTCAGACTCCCCAATTCTCGTCGTTTCATCGCGACCTTCGCTTTTTACGCAAAGATTCTAATCGCGCGACAAGCTCTTCAACGGTCGGAAAAAAAAATAGATACCGACGAAACAAATTCCGGTTAACTCGCAGTCGTTTAAGCCAGAGTGCGGAAGCTTTATCGTGATCTCGGACGACATTATACTAGGATAAGGGAGGTTTTTAACGCTGTCGTAACCCCATTACGCGCCGCATCATCCCTAGATTCTTACCATCCCGTTGGAACATGGACAGCGTGTGCGGGGTGGCATTGAGAAAGATAAAGATACAGAACGAAGCGCACCCCAATCTGGGGTGCCCTCGTATTCTCTTCGTGTTACGTGACGTGATGTATTACGGAGATCGCCATGAAGTGAATTGATTGATGTATGCAATGCCGTGAACTAGATTGGACATATCGGGATTTGAGAGAAAGTTTTTAAGTTAAGTGCGCGAGAGTAATGCAAGTTATCATAACTTGCGATGCAAAACGATTTAGGACGCTGTTATGCGCAATAATATTTCGATATTACAAACCGCTCGGTTGTAAGATTTTGCATTTTACGAACGGCAATTAAAATAACGATGAAGATAGAAGCAAAGTTAATGAAACGATGGTGTTCTACTAATGTGGTGTTTTACTAATGTAGAATTAATTTTAATCTCGGTTTAACTTATTTTTTATCATCTAATTTTAAGAAAACAAGATGACAGTTCTTAAGTATCTGAAAAATTAATTAAACACAGATCTAAAAATAATTTTGTTAATCAAAATAATTATGTAAGAGCTCAAGCTAGAATGTCAACAATTTTTACAGTTCATCACGCTTGAGATTCCTACGTAATTATTTTGATGATCCAAATTATTTTCAGATCTGTGTCTAGCTAAATTTTTAGATACTTCAACAAAATCGTTCTTTTTATGAATTGACAGATCAAACATTCACTTCGTGGATTAATAAGCAAAATTCTTTCCTGCTCACCGGTGTATCCAGACGTTGTCTACAGCGGTAAACATCTCCCTAACAGGTCGTAGGAGAATAATCCTTATATTTCCCGCTAGTATTGCACGGTTCTGTGCGAGATACAATTATTGCCGAGTCCAGCCGAGACGTACCGTGATCACGCGAATGCTCGACTTGAAACACAGCCTTCGAGCACGCACCAACTAACGAAGGGTTCAATAATATATGACTCCTTTCTGCGGCCACTGTCACTTTGTGATTATCCAATTGCAAACTGAAATTCACTTAGCAATATCGTTGTAGCGTGCCGAGAGGATTAAACAAAATAACAACAAATAACAATAAAATTCGCGAGCAAACCTACAGTCGATAACAGACGCGTCGTGATCATCCCAGTATTACTGTCGATAATAAATTTCCATCTTCGCAACTGTAATAAATTTTATATAGATTTTGTTATATTTCTCCCCATAATATAAAGAATTTAGAGTGAATTTTTTAAAAATAAAAATACAACAGAGAACTGTATATAATTTGATTTAATTATTTAATTTTCAATATCGAATACTTGTGAGCAAATTATTTTTAAATAAAATTTTTATGAAAACTTGAAATTATTGTTACTAATTAGAGAAATAAAATTCATATTCCAAAGTTGTCTGCTTATATATTACACTTTCGGCGCTAATTTATAAAGTCTCTTTAATTTCAATATTGCTCTGTAATTAAGCTTCTCGTTCGTACTAAGAAATTCATCCTAAATATATATTCATTAAAGAACCCATGATCAACAGAAAACACGTAGTATTATGGCAGCGACGCATTCTATAAAATTTCACGATCATCATCATCGACTGCCTCTTCATCCGCAAGCGGTAGCGTAACCACTAATTAACGAGTCTTTTCCCCACTGGCTTCTCAAATACCATCGAAGGCGAAACGACCGGCGCAACCGATCGGCAGTCGCAGCGGATGTGCGCGCACCTTTATAGCGCAACGACGACTTCATTCGCTCGTTCGTAACGGGCTATCGCGGCATTGGATTTTTTTCAGGTCCTTTGCTAATTAAAAAATTCCACGCGAAGTCAGATTTCCTGCTGGCGCGCCGTGCCACAGCGCACACGAACGCTTGTATGAACAAATCCAATACTGTAGCCCACCCCAAACTTTCTCTCTCTCTCTCTCTCTCTCTCTCTCTCTCTCTCTCTCATCTCTTCCAACGCGTATTTAATTCGTCTCGGGCACTCGCGGACGCAGAACGGAAGCATTAGCGGTCTACCATGAAGAGAACATTGTCGTGGTGTATTAAAACGTTTGTTTACCCATCAGGCTCTGCGAGGTCAGTTTATCAGTTCAACTACATAATCATTTATCCATTTTCTTTCGGAAATTAGAAATATAACGCTTATTTTTTTCGGAAATAAAAATTATCGTACCGTGTCCTAGTTTTATTATTTTTATTTCTTATACTGTTAAATAATTCTCATTTCAAGTCCGATATTGTTTCACTATTACGTTTCTCTTTTTTATATTCATTTTTTATATCTCTTTGTTTTATGTTTTGTTAGTTTATTATAATTAGTTTATTATAATTTTCTTGTATATGATCATTAATCATGTCTCGTATTCTTACTTTAGAGGGCTCACTCTAAAATATTAATAAACGCTTTACCTATTTACTTTCTTTATCATATTTATATACCGAAATCCATATTTCTTCTCGTAGGTTATAGCACACAATGCATAAGTTAACATAAATGACATAAAATCGTCTGGATCAATGAATATATTATATAAATCAATATGGTGACTTTATGCTAGACATTTTATCGGTCTATACAGTTTCATACCAAGCTATGCTGTGTTTAAGTATTTTGCTACATTGAAAACAAACAATATCAATTTCAAAGAAATATTTTTTAAAAATTAAGACACTTTTTTTTCAGTGTAGCATAAAACCGTCTGGACCAATAAATATGTTATGTAAATCAATAAGGTGGCTTTATGCTAGATGTTTTATTAATCCATACAGTTTTATACTAAGCTATGCTCAAGCATTTTGCAATAGTTTTTATTCTCTTTAAACGAAAATGAAAGAGTTTGCATCAACCTATTGAGATATGAGTCTGATTCCAGAGGTCTTTTCTTCCCATTTACGCAATAAAAAGATGCGTATGGAATTTCGTATTAGGGTTATTATCCTGCTTGGTAGAGATAGACACGCGTGGAACGATTCTCAGGACATCGCTGTACTCGACGGATCATGAATCATTCTGTTGCGTAGCGTAAGACACGCGACGTTCAGGGTTCAAGTCAACGTTCGTTTTCTCATCATCATGCGATTGTCAATACGATTCTTAATATCGGGAACAATTATTCGACACACGTGGACTCGCACGCGGCGTGGTTTTATCTTTATTTCGGCGTAACGGCCGACGGCACGTCAAGGAAATTAACCGCGGAATTCGGCCGCCACGGCCGCGGAGGATATTTACGTGGCTCGAGGAGGCGGGGGAGACGACGCTTGTTAAACATTTTTTAATTAAATTCAAATCGATCGCGCCAGCCGATGCATGCCTGCTCTACGTGGCAGAACGTGCGGTGAAAGGAACGGCAACGGGACGGGGTTGCGAGCGTTTCGAGATCTTCTTTTTTTGGCGGACGATTCGATATTCGCCTGAAAATATCGCTGACCGATGAAAACTGTATTTGACAAACTGAATTTTCGAAAAGGCAGATAATAAATAATATCGTGTTACATCGTTTTATCATAGACACGAGTAGTCTTTTTTTTTAAATCTATTTTCCAAGAAATATTTATTTTCCCAGACACATAAATATTATTTCAAAAAGTGGCAGTTTCCCCGAGGTACATTTATTATTGGCACAGTATCCTCCGCATCTACGTGTCAGTTTTAGCTGCCGAGCCAGTACTTCGGGAATATGTATATTCGTCACGGCGGAGTCAGGCAATACTTGACGCGACTGTGCCTTTTCTACTTAGTCTTTCACCTCGGTAAATAGAGATGAAAGAAAATAATTTCCAATCGAGACCGGCTGTGAAGGCTGTGCACCTCGCGAGTCCCAGGCTCTTTATCGCCCGAACGTTTGAGCGTGGCGAACATCACGAGAGAGAGAGACTGTTTGAGATGCGCGACGCGAATGTCGGCGATGAACAGTAAATGTTCGCTCTCTCACTGCCAATGAAAATCGGTCAGCTAATATCGATACTTCATTCCATGAGGTAGGTCGGTGTTGCACGCGTAATGAGCAATAGTTGTGTATGTAAAGCTACAAGCGGAAGGAAAATCGAGGCCGCCGGATAGATGAATCGACACAATTGTCCCAACAAAGTTAAATTATTGTCAAATCAGTTAAAAGATGACATAATAAAGACGATATAATATATATTATACAACGCAGAATTGATCAATGCAACTGTATTGATGTGACCTAAGCATTGCGATTTTTACTGACAGGATCAGAAGTAGAAACGCAATTTTAAAAATTTCTCTTTCGAATCCAACATTGAAAATTAATTATTAAAAATATGAAACATTTAAGAACCTTTAGAGAGCAGGCATCTATTTTTAAAATGTTATAGCTTTTTCTGAATAAGATTTAGTATTATTTCGTTATACTCTTTATTTTAAAATATGATACTGTTTCAATTCTATTGGTGATTTTTCCATTCTATAAAAATTAATAAAAAATATGAGAAATTTTCTATATCTATATAGATGCAGTAAAGATTTAATTATCTATATAATTATCCTGAAACAACAAGTGAATAATAACTGGATATTAAATCATATTGGGTACAATTATGTAATAATCAGTAGTGTTATTAGATTTAATTTATCCAATGATCACGAATGTTCGATTTCACTTTGTTCATAAACCTATTTTATCGTTTGACCTATTTTTATGCAACCATCATGATTACGCTTGTACATTTGAGCTTATTCATGCAGACTTAACATAGCGGTATTGATAATTTTGTGGATCGTCTGTTACTGACGTATACCGCAGTGGATGAATTGTCGCGCGGAAAGGAGGCCATGCTTGAAATCTCATTAACGCGACATCCTAATTTAAAGTTATGCCGATCTATGTGAATCATTTCAATCTATCTAAATTACTAACCGTCGTATCTACATTGTTCGTGAACAATCGTGTTATTTCAACCGTCCAGTGATGTTCCTTTCACTTCCTCATTAGAAAAATTACAAATGGAAGCTTCGTCATTTTAAAACAATTTGCAAGTAAATATATATAAGTATATACAGGTACAATTTTCAACTGTTTTACATCGATTTTAGATAAGGGAACAATTGATTTAATATAAAGTAAGTTTAGGGAAAAGCGATTTTCCAGGTGTAGACAATGTTTCATGAACATAATTTAATTGCACAACGAGATCTTCGGGTACTCGCACCTCGACTTTCCACAAGTTCGTGTTAATTTCCGCATAGAAAGGGGGACTCTGCGAATATAGAGTACGCTTCGACGCAGAATCAATTATGTGCAACAATCGAACTTCCCTTCGTGAACGAATGAGGGAAATATATTCCAACTACGGAACGGTTTCTGTTTTAAAACTCTTCATATTCTGTTGGACGAAATATTTGCAAATTAAATTGTTCTGTCAACGAGAATATATTGCACGATAAACTATAGCTGCATTGTAGACAATGCGTTATTTAATGCGATCTTTTCATAGTTTATCGCACTGCGCACTCAAATTTATTTTTGTGTAAATGCCTGATAGAATAGTACATAGAAAAAATAATGTAGCAAGACGTAAACAATAAGTGAATCCGCCATTTACAGTAAAATTTATTGTAATGCAATAATTACTTATTGTTTCTGTCTTACGTTTACTATTTACGTTTTATGGTGTGTCATAGCCATAGAAGTTGTGATAGATGAACAATCGACTACGAGGTAACAATTGACTTCGCAATTAAATTCATCAGCAAACTATAATCCTTGAAGGTTCGAAATAGGGACTGCAAAATCAATGTAAAGCGTGAACAATCGACTAAGTGAA